GAATCAGGTGCTCAAAAAAAAAAAAATATTGAAACATACAGTAATCCTCACTGTTTGTTTCAATATTAAGTAAGATATAATGTAAAAAGTTTATCACAAACAGTAACTCACCCATGCTAAACCCTTACTAAAAACCTTGAATGCACTAAATGTTTACCAAATCAACATCTATCAAAATGTATTATTTTTGCTTAAATACAAACTTGGACTAGTCCGGTCGTATTTTTTAGATAACTTCTTTCAAATAAACTCTAATAGATATATAACAAAAGCAACAGGCAACTTCACATTGCCTAAAAGAACAACAAAGTTCTCACGGTTTTCTTTTTCCTACCGGGGCCCGTCCCTATATAACAAAATAATAACCAAAAGAATAAAACTTAAAGTATTAAACAATCCTGCCACCTTGAAAAATAAATTAAAACACCTCATACTTGATTTCAACAATTATATCGACATGTATTAAACTTAACTTTACAATTAAAAATGATACTAATATATTTAAGTGTATCATTGACTGTATATTGATGAGCCGGGATAGCTCAGTTGGGTAAAGCGCTGCTATAAAGTTTGGACTAATTATTGCCCGTAGCAGCAGGATTGCAGCTTCAAATCCCGGCTCCGCCTACTCAGGGTATGAGTAGTACTTACTAAGGGAACTCTTCTCGATTAGCTCTGCTATCACGATGTTTCCTTCTCGACTAGTGAATAAATAATCTAGTCGAGTAAAAGAAAAATATTCATTTATATTGTTTAATCACTTTTGACTAAATATAAAAATGAAATAAACTTTATTTAGCCATTTAGAGAGGTATTTGATGATAAGTCTTGTTAGACTTCTACGAGTTTTTCTTCACAACAGCATGTATATATCTGTCGTAACAAAAAATTTCTTGTCTTATTTTTTTACTTTTCTTATTTTTGTTCTTTTATTTTAAAAATATACTAGCATTTTTTATGATAAGAAACACTATTAATTTACTTTATACTTAGTTATACTTGTTAAACCACCTTTTGTTATGATATGTTATACGTGGTATTATTATGTTATATTTTTTATGTTACATTTTATTATGTCATGTAGTTATAACGTAACGATGTGTAAATTTATTGAAGTTGTAAAAAAAAATAAAAAAATTTTCTTTGATACAAATAATTTTATTGATGGAGAAATTCTAAGTGGATCTTTATATTCAGTAGGTATTGTCAATCAATCTCTAGAAAGTGAGCATAACATATTATTCACTCAGGTTGTTGCTAATGAAGGAAGTGTCTCCACTGGAATTACTATTACTGATGTAGAATATAAAGATAGTAATGAAACAGTTTTCTTAAAGTGATATTTTAACAACTGATAAAGTAACTTTGCGTGACGTTGTCGGATAAAACAATAACAATGATAATAATGTAACTTCTGATATGGTTGCTCCCAATAATCAAGAAAAATTTTTTCAACAGCCATTAGGCAATGAACCTGGGCTATCGCTTGAATAACATAGCAATTGCAGTCATTTAAGTTTTGTTAAACAAGGTTATAAAAAATATCTCTTTTCCTCGTGATGAAAAATTTCCTATGCGCATTAAAAATATTTCTTTTCCTCGAGATGAAAAAGATTCCCGAAAATTCAGTGCTTCTTATTCTACTAAAGTTCTTTCTAATGGTGAAAAAGGGGCTAGACGTTGGTTGGTTTATTCAAAATCTAAAAATGTTGTCTTCTGTTTCTGTTGCAAGTTGTTTTTAACATCTAAAAACAGAATTTCAGATGCTGGTGATGGTGTATGTTACTGGCGTAAACTGTGAGAAGAGTTAATGAAAACTGTAAGTTTCATATGGAAGCTATGCAGAAAAAGATTGCTACAGAAAATGCAATTTAAAAAAAATAAAACTATTGATTTTGAGCATAAAAAAATCAGAAGTTGCCATAAAAAATTATTCATTTTGTTTTTACCTGTTGACTGTTAAACAGGAGCACACTTAACAGATGTTTTTTTAAATGAGTTAAAAAAAAACTAGGATTAGACATGCAAAACTGTTGAGGTTAAGGTTTCCATAACGTAAAACATAAAAGGTCACCATTCTGGTGTTGAAGCTAGAATTTCTAGTCTAAAGTCTTTGGCTTTTTTTGTTCCCTGTGCATGTCATAATTTGAATTTAATTTTATCTGATGTTGCAAAATCCTTTTTTGGTTTTATTCAGAATTTGTACACCTTTTTTCTGCATCTACAAAGCGATAGAATATTTTTAAAAACTACCTTTAAAAAGAAGGTTTAACTCTAAAGTCACTTTGTGACACTCGGTGGGAAGCACGCATAAACAGTGTTAAAGCATTACGTTACCAGGTAAAAGGAATATACGACGCATTATATGAAATAATTAGAAGCGATTCTTTTCCTGTCAATTGCCGAAACGAAGCTGAAACGCTCGGAAATCAATTGAAAAGTTTTTCTTTACTAGTTTTACTAGGTGCCTGGTATCAGATCGTCTTTCGTATTTAATTCGTACGTAATTAGCTGAATGATGCAGGCAAACAATTCAGATCTAAAAAAATGACAAGTGAATTAACAAAGAAGACGCTAATACTCCTTAGACTTTCGTGATAATGGCTTCTGCAATTGCATTACAGACGCTAAAGGGCTTGCAAATGAACTAGACGTGTAACCAAAGTTTATAAACACACATTTTTTAAGAGCGCGCAAATAAAAAAGTTTTTTTTTTACGAAAGTAATGATGACCCTATCCAAGATCCTAAAGAACGTTATCGAATAGAATTTTTCAATGTTCTTACTGATAATGTAGTTTTTCACTGAAGGAAAGATTTAATCAAATAAATGATTATGTATCAGTGTTTTTGGTTTTTTTTATTTAATGTACATTCTTTACAAAAGGTAAGTTCTTCAGAACACAAAAAAAACTGCCCTGATTTACAAAATAAACTAACTTTTGAGGAATATTCTGACATTGATAGAAAAATAGTTATTTTTTGAACTACAAATGATTTCAACTGTACCCCCATCAAAAAAGACACCATTAAAATATTTAAAAAGTAACAAGCTGATGGATGCATTTTAAAATCTATGTGTGGCTCTGCGAATTATAGAAACTATGCGTAGTACTATAGCCTCAGGGAAGTGAAGTTTTTCTAAACTTAATTTGATTAAAACTTATTTAACATCTTCAAAAAATGGACTTTTAGTGTTGAGTCTATTATAATAATGAAAATAATTGAACTTTAAACATTGCGATATTATAGCAATGTGTCGCTAGCTACATATCGTAGCTTTGTAGCTAGCTACAAAATATCTACAAATCTGTGCCGGTTGGTAGCTACATATCAAAATTTGTTAGACAGTGATTTTATTACGGTATGACTTAAGCTACAATAGCCAGTGAGTTTTTAGCTTATTAAGCTAGCTGCCCTCGTAGCCAAATTGCTGTCTTTATCTTTAAAAATAATGATAGCTTTTCGCCAACTTAAAAAAGCTAGCAACTTTCGTGGCCATATTGCTTTTTTCAACAACCAAATTTACAATATGCGCAGAACATTTAACATAAAAAAAGTTACCGTTACTGACGAGTTTAGCATTCAACTTCTAATTGAGAATCTTAACCATTGCGTCATTTGTTTAACAGTTATCTAGAATAACATTATTTTTTTTATCAAAGTTCCATTTGTATAACTTTTCAAGTAAAGTTTTATATAGTTCTATTGCAGTATGAGGCGAATCAATATCAATAAAATTAAGTATATGTTTTTTTAGTCTCCAATTATTATCAATATAGTGGCAGGTAAGAGCAAATGTAGGTTTTATTTTGAATAGACGTCCACAAATCACATGTGAAATTAATTCGACATAGTAGCTTTTCCATCACACCATATAACTTTTCCTTTTCATCCTCGAAGATTTTCAAATAATCATTTGTAATTGTACGTCAACTAACCATTTTAAAAAGAGGTTGAATATTTTTACTATACTCTCTAAAAACTCAATATTCAACAATTGAAAATGGTTATTCGTGAAGTATTATCATGCGGGTCAAGTCATTTCTGCTTGTTTTTTGATTCAATTTGAAACTTTTAGACTCAAAAATACCATCAACTATTACTTTTACCACTCTGTAAAAAGGTTTGAACTTTTATTGGGAAACAAACTTGTGGTTGCTGAGTCCTCAAATGTTTGACCAAGTGACTAGTTCCATCTGTAGATCTAGCCGATAAAGAATGCGAACATTAGTTATAATTGGTTTTACGTTGACCATCGATAAAAACCTTTTTTTATACGATACCCAAACTTTTGAGGTGCATTTTCTCTTTTTAGTTTTAGGTAATACTCTTAACTCAGATGAAAGTTGCCCTTCGATATCAATAATTGGAGTGACAGTATTTGCGTTTTCTACCTCTGACATATCTGTAAAAAACAGATGAAATAAAAAAATAGGTTTCTACTTGAAGACATTTAACTTAAAGACGATTCCCAAATCGAACTTTAATTTAACTTGAGAAGTTTTTTTCTTAAAAAAAAAATTAAATAAAATTGGATTTTATAATCTGGTTTATGAAACTATTTAAATACTTCAGAAATCATAATTGGTTTTCATCGGCATACACCTAATATTAAGTAAGATATAATGTAAAAAGTTTATAAGAAAATTATAATAATGAAAGTATTTTAATTAAGAAAATGCTAGTCGGGTCTAACATTATGAGATCCATACCCGATCCGTTTGGTTAAAGGGTCTGGGTCTGGCGGGTTTGTGGTCCAAAAAATGAGAACCCAGACCCGGTTCCAACAACGGTTAAAGCTTAACTTTAAGTTTTATTACGAACCTACAAAATTTATGAAAACAAGATTAAAAGTAAAGTTTATTACTGTGCGTTAGGAGTATTACTTTTAACCTGAATGTTATTTAATAACATTACGAAACTCAATATATCAATATAATTAATGTTTTAATGAAAAATTGTGCAATAACTTATTGCACAAACTTTTATTGACAACACACTATTTAAATATTGACTTTGTTAAGATTAAAAAAGGTTTAAAATGCATTATGGGTCAAGTTTTTCAAATTACGTTAGAGCTTTTAAGATAATTAATTTTAAATAAAAAATGTATCAAGCTGGAAAGACCTATTTTGATTCCAATGCACCTGTTATTGTTTTAAAAAGTTTATTTTCGAAGTATGATGCTGATAAAAGTGGTCAGTTAAACAGAGACGAACTGAAAGTGTTTTTTATGGAAGATTTAGGATTTACTAAAGAACAATGTGACGTATATTCATTACTTCTTGATAAAGATGGAAATGGCCAAGTTTCTTTCGACGAATTTGTTATTTGGTTAAAAAGTGGCGAGAATTTTTCAAATGTGAGCAGTAAATCCCGATTTCATAAATTAAAGCAAGCTGTAGACATGTTCAATGAGTTTGATGTTGATCGTAGTCAATCACTCGACCGAGCTGAGTTTAAACGATTATTCAAATCTTTAAATGGTAATCCTTTAAAATTAGATGCGGCGTTATCAGAACTTGACAAAGATGGAAACAACCTAATTTCATTTCAAGAGTTTTTGAGATGGTTAAATTGGGTTCCACTGGATAATTTTTAAATACTTTTTAAATATTTAAAAAAAAAAATCAATAGGAAACAACATTTCAAGTAAAAATAAGGTTGGTTAAACTAAAATAAATAAAAGTTATAAAAATTTGTATGGTTATACTATGGTATGGTAATACTCTTTTATTTTTAAAGAATATTTTTTTTATAAATATGGATTTTAGTTTTATACAATATGGATTTTATACAATATGACTTCTTAAGTTTATTACAATATGTATTTTTAAATAATAAGTATATGTTTTGTTTTAGTTTTTGTATGTTTTCTATGTTTTTAAACTCAATTAAACAACTTGTTTTGCAAACTTCTTTTTCTATTATGTAAAAAATTACTGTTTCAAACAACAATTTTTATAACTGTTTCCAATTTAACTAATTTAAGTAAACATTTGTTAAGTGTTAAAATAATAAAACTACATCAATTTATCAAAAGGTATTTTGAAATAATGCGCTAAAATTAATGCATTTACTTTTTATATTTATATAATAATTATAGAAAGCATATGATAATTATAAATAGATAAGTAAATTATATATTACAGCAATCATATAGGGGAAAATAAGATGAACAAAATTAATTCACACTTACTCTTATTTGGTTTGCTTATAGATATTTTTTGTTTAATATTTTTGAACCTTGTTTATACTTTTGTTTTTACATTTCTTAAGTTTCTTACAATTCTTTTGACTTTTTTTTTGTTATTGCCTGTTTTTTTATTTTATTTTTTTGTTTTTTTAGTTGTGTTATCTTTCTTTTTTTTAAATTTTATTAAATCTGCATAACCTTAATTGTCTTTTTAAAATTTTTGTACTCATATACTCATGCCAAACCTCATAATAGTACTCATATTATAAGACCTCATAATAGTACTCATATAATAAAATATTTTTATATTTGGTTGCTATGGATACCTAATTTTGCTTAGCAACAACTTTTTTTGGTAGCTGCTTATATTTTATATGTGTTATATACATTAAAACTAGTATTAACATAATTTTTGAATAAATTTTAAATAACTATTAAATATTAAGTATTTAGGAAAATAATTTCAAGTTAAAATTTAAGTCATTAATAATAAAAAATGTTGTAATAAAACATTGATATTTTGAACACATTAACAATTTATGAAGCATACATACATGCATAAAATTAGAAATCATATTTTGAGGGGGTTGACAGTCGGAGCCTGAAGCAAATCACTAACTCTTTCTGGGAGTCAAGATTTTGAATTTTGTGCTTATGCTGCTGATTATTAGGTCTGATTAGCACAAAAGTCGGCATAATACATCACAGTTATCTTTCAAACAACTGCTTTTGCCTGTGCAATTATGTAAATATTCTTAGCAACAACCTCAGAAAACAGAATTTGTAAAATTTTATTATTGGTCTCTAAACTTTCGTTTAGTTCAGTTTTAGGAATTTTGAATCAGAAAATTGCTCTCAAAAACTGCTTTGCTCTGCATTTCTCATCTTTAAACAAAATTGTTTTGTTTTGCATCACATTTTATTTATTATGTTTAACTGTAGTGCAACTTTATCATTTCCAGAAGACAAGGTATTTTTTTATTTTATATGTGTTTGTATATATATGTATGTATATATTTATATATATATATCTAATATAGCATATTTATATGCGCAGTTGCTCACTTTTTTTGGTAGCCTTAATTAAGTGAGCGTTTTTAGAAAATATTGAGGGAAAATGAAGAATAATGAATGAAAAGGTTGCCAACCCATACCAAACCCTTAGTCGATGTAGCAGCACTCCACTGCGAGTCAGGCTATTTATCAGTCGATGTATGTACTGAAACCCCCAGCAGCAGGCTATTTGACGTTAGGTGAGTATGACATCATCATGCTCACCTAACTCAGCAGTATAAGATATATATCTACTATAAATATATATATATTATATATATACATATATATATATATATATATATATATATATATATATATATATATATATATATATATATATATATATATATATATATATATATATATATATATATATATATATATATATATATATATATATATATATATATATATATATATATATATATATATATATATATATATATATATATATATATATATATATATATATATATATATATATAAATATATATATATATATATATATATATATAGATATAAATATATATATATATATATATATATATATATATATATATTATATATATATATATATATATAAATATATACATATATATATATATATATATATATATATATATATATATATATATATATATATATATATATATATATTTTTTTTTTTTAACATCTTCACTTCCAACAAGGCTGCAAGCAACCACTATAAGAGATGGAAGTTACTGGAAGAGAAAAGACTAAATCTGTAGAGCAAGATAACGATTGACTGATGACTTAAAAGATTGCAAATTATATGAATCAGGAAAATAAGATGAAGGAAGCGAATTCCAAAGAACTGATGTTTGAGGAAAAAAACTAGAAGAATAAGAGTTTTTGAAGCACTTAGGAACAGTCACAGAAAAAGGATGAGACTTAATTGAATGGCGAGTAACACGAGAATGAATTTTAGTAGATGGCACAAGGGACGCTAGCTCCTTAGAGCAGTGCCCATTATAGTATTTGTAGAAAAGAGAAAGAGAAGCAACATTACGATGATGTGACAAAGGTTGGAGATTGGCTGCCAGAGCAGGTCCAACTATGTTTACAATTCGTTTTTGCACCTTGTCTAAAAGAGAAAGTGCATCATTAGAAGATCCGCCCCAGATGTGGCAACAGTATTCCATACAGGGACGGATTTGAGATTTATAGAGATAGAGAATAGAATCTGGAGTAAGAAAGTGTCGAGCTTGATAAAGAGATGCAACCTTAGCAGATGCTAATTTTGCAATGGATTTGATAGACGGTTTAAAAGAAAGATCAGAAGTAAGAGTTAATCCTAGAAGATGAATGGTAGATGACTCATCTAGTACATTACCATTCATAAATATAGGAAGATCTAAATTATTACGATAACGATTGACCGAATAAAATTGAGTTTTATCTGAATTAAAGTTCACCAGCCACTGTGAGCCCCATGCTGTAGCAGAAGTGAGATCCTTTTCAAGCTCAGATACCCCCTCCAAGCAATCAGAGAGTGTAGGCTTCTTATCATGACAAGAGTAAATGGTAGTGTCGTCAGCGAATAATGCCACCTTAGATGTGAGAATATCTGGAAGATCGTTAATGTAAATTAAAAAGAGTATAGGGCCAAGGATTGAACCTTGAGGAACCCCTGAAGTTACAGGATGTGAAGAAGAGTGTTGTCCATCGAGGACAACTTTTATACTACGATTGGAAAGAAAGGACTCAATAATCTTAAAGACGTTACCAGCTACACCATAAGAAGAAAGCTTATGGAGAAGACCAGCATGCCAAACTTTATCAAAAGCTTTAGAAATGTCAAGTGCGATAGCCTTAACCTCTCCACCTCTATCTAATGCACGGTAAAACCTATCGGTTATTACTGTTAGCGCATCAGCTGTAGAACGAGAAGACCGAAATCCATATTGATGATCAGAAAGTAAGTTATTCGATTCAAGATGAGAGATTAAGTGTTTGTTGATTAAAGATTCAAAAACCTTGCTTATGACAGGAAGAAGACTAATGGGACGGTAGTTAGATGAATCAGATCGTTCTCCGGAATTTTTGAAAATAGGGATAACAGATGCTGCTTTCCAGCATGATGGAAAACAAGACTCTGATAAGCACTTGTTAAATAGTTTAGAAAGTATGGATGAAAGCTCCGGAGAACACCTCTGCAAGACTACAACAGGAATGTTGTCTGGACCACAAGCTGTTGAAGAGTCTAAGCAGGAAATTACTTTAGATACAGAAGCTGAAGTGATGTGAATGTCAAGCAAGGGATCAACCTGTTTGACGGCTATGTCAGGTAAAACGCAACTAGTGGAATCAAGAAAAGATATTGATGAAAAGTTCTTAGCAAACAATTCAGCTTTGTCTTTAGGTGAGGTGACAAAGTCTGAACCATACAAGAGAGAAGGAATAACAGATTTGCCCTTATTATTGATACTGTTAAAGATTCTCCAGAAGTCTCGAGAGCCTAATTTTTGTGATGAGATACGAGATTTAATGACCTGGGAATAGCAAGCTTTGGCGTCAGACAAAACCTTTTTACAATGGTTTCTGGCGATAGTGAACAGATGTCTGTTTTCTGGAGAATTGTTTTGCTGATAGATATGGAAGTAACGGTTTCGATTAGAAATTGCTGCAGCGCAATGTGAGGAAAACCAAGGAGAAGAGTGAGGCTTGACCTGGAATCGTCGAGAGGGAATAAAAGATTCCATGCCAGCCTGAATCCACGAAGTTATGTAAGAAGCACATTTGTCAGCAGGAAGACGAAAGATTTCTACCCAAGGGCCATCACGAAGAAAATCACGGAAAGAGTCCCAGTCAGCTTTAAGGTAGTTGTATGTGGTACGATGATAGGGGATTCTGATGAAGTAGAAGAATTTGATAATAGTTTTAGAGAGATCAAACCGTGATCAGAAGTACCTAAGGGTGAATGTGGAGAAATTGAGCACTGACTAGGATCCAAAACAAGACATAAGTCGAGTAGAGAAGGTAAATGATTAGGGTTGTCTGGAAAACGAAAGTTGGAAAGTTGACTATTTGAGTTAGAGATTGAGAAAGGCAAAAGTTGAGGGCCTTAACGCCAGCAGAGTCACTGACACTAGAGCCAAGCCAATCGGTGTGATGGGCATTAAAGTCACCAACAACGACGATATTGGCCGATGGATAAAGAGAGAGGGCTTGGTCAATTTGATCAGAAATAACATCAAGAATAGTGCAATCTTGGGATGAAGGAGAGCGATATAGAA